CTTTTTTCATGAAAATTTTCTTCTTCTCATCTCCCCATACTCTAGTGAACCAGCTGTTATGGAAAGTGCAAGCATTGCACCTCAAAGACATTGTAGCCATATAAGAAGTCTTGCTCCAAACACATTTCTAAGTGCAGGTGATGCAGTTATTGGGGAAAGAAGTAGGCACAGGTTCTATCTTATGTGTAGCCCCAAACTAAATTTCTGAGAAGGGCGTTAGGCCATCACTGAGCCCATCCCATGTTCAAACCAGGGCTATAGAGTTAGGTGGGGTTGTTCAGGTCTCTGTCCAGTTGAATATCTCCAAGGATGCAAGTGACTCCTCTCCCCAAAATGAACCACCCTGAAGAATTTTTTCCCCACTTTGACCACCTGGAAACTACTTTGCTGCTGCTTGTGCCTGTTGCCTCTTGCTCTTTTGAAGTGTCCCTTTGAGAAGAGACTGACTCCACCTTCTCCATAGATGCCTTGTAGGTGGTGGAAGATTGTAGTCAGATCTGATTCCCAAAGCTGAAAAGAGCAGCTTTCTCAACCTCTCTTCTGACATCACCTACTCCAGGTTCAGGGTGCCTCTTACACTGGGGACCCCAAAATTGGACCCCATGCCACAGGTGTCAACCTGCTGGCTGTGCTTCAGCTTTTGTGGGTGGGATGCTGGTGACCTTCTTTGTTGTAAGAGTGCGTGGCTGGTTTGTGCTCAAGTTGCTCTCCACAGGGACATCTAGGTCCCTTCATCCAGGAATATGTTCCGTAGGTTCCATGTTCCTATCTAAGGAAATCACTTAGATACGCTGCTGGGGGATGTGTCTCATAGAATGTGTGGCACACCGTGCTCTGTGCCCTGCCTATTTAGGCTAGCTCAGTTCAGCCGCCACCGCTTAAAATCACCTTCTCCACACACAGTTGCTAGATACTTAACTTTGGCCTTTAGGAACAAGGGTCAGATTCCTAGACATCCTAATTATATGGATAATCCTTACCTCCTCAGCCAGTCCGACCCACTCATGCTAGTAAAGCRATAGAAAATTCAAGTTCTGGCATAAGGGCCCAATGTAAATTCCAGCAGATGCTGGCCTAAAACTGCTGGCACTGGCTTGTACTGCTGCAGAAAGAGATACTAAGCTCTGATAAGTTGTTTCTTGGTGAGTACTGCCAGCCTGTGACTGGACCCAGGATCATTTTTGCTCTTCCTGGAGCTGCCAGGAGGGGAGCAGATAAGATAAAAGAGCAGGAGCTACAAGCAAATTCTGCTTTTCCTATAAGAACAACTTCGTCTGAGATCCCAGCAAGCTACGAGAGGCTAATTACCAGCTTGTTTTGGTAGAGAGCCAGAGTTGTGGGCGGCTATTTGTAGTAGTATATAAATATACATGTATATGTACCTGTGCTGGAGTGACTGCACGAAACTACTATGACAGAGTCACATTGTTTGTTTTTTGGCCTTGAACTTGAGTTCAACTTGATTACGTTTCTTAAAGGAGGGGCAAAACCTGCTTTATAAAAGAATACAGGATAATGCTGTCGTGTCTGTCGTTGTTTTTGGCTGGATAGTTCCACTGGAGGCTTTGCAGGTAAAACATGACTTTGCTGTTTTACATAGTACGAGGTAGAGTAGGAGAAATACAAGCAATAGTGCTGGAAAAGCACTATGCTCACATTGAGAGGGATTTGTCTTGGGGAGATGGAATAAATTAGAGCTCCCCGTCCTTAATGGTACTTGGAGGGAAAGAAAAGATGAATTTGCCATCCTAAAAGGAGCCTTGCAGTAAAACAGTGAGTTGTCAGAGGTAATTGGATCAAGTGGGAGTAGAGATTCTGGAGGAGGAGGAGGACTCTATAGTTACTGTGCGCTGCTGTTAAATGAGGCAAAGAAATGTAGCTGGAACTGTCTTAAGCTATGTATGAAAATGAGAGGAAATTGTCTTAATCGGTAGCCAGAAAGAAATACTCCTAGACACCACTGGAAAAATATTTTCTTATAGAGTTGCCAAAGTGCCTGGCTTTGGTTTGGTTTTGATTTTCTGAGGTGCTCGAGGCTTTCGTACAATATAGGCATGGTGTTGTCCATCCTTGACAGAGAGGATTTAGGGGATCCAATTTGTTTCCTGCTCTGCTTCTGCAACATACTGCTGTGGTGGGAATGCTGCTGAAAACCAGCTTTCTCTTTATTTGTGTGTGTGTGTATGTGTTGTTTTTTCTCTGACTACAATGAGTTAACAAGCTCAGGCGTTGTTCGTGATAAGATTATTCTGAAACCAGCTCTCCAAAGTTCATCCAATACTTTCAAAATGTTAAATGACAGAGTCTTAGAAGGAAAGAAGGCTTGCATTATTATAGCACGCCTTGAATATTGTGGATGAAATTAAATGTACATGGATATTTTTAAATGTCTGAGAGGGAAGAGAGGAGGGAGGGCTACTGTGTTTCTGGAGTATTCTTATAGTGTCTGAGGCAAGTTCAACTGTTCTTCCTAAAGCACAGCTGAGCCCACACATGATGGAGATGTCCTGGGATAACTGGCAAAGTGCTAAAGAAGGCAGACAGCTGACCTATGAAATAGTCTGTGTTTCTTCTTATCTAATTTCCACCCTAGTATTCAGTGCAAAATAGCAGAAGATGCCACTGAACGAAATGATGTCTATCCCCCGACATAAATCTTTATGCAACGTACAAGTAGCTGCCAGTAGCATTTGTCTTCATTGAGTTTCTGGCTTTAATAGTGGTTTGATGTCTTTTATGAATGAGTCCTGGAGGGAGTGGAGGAGCATCCTTCACCATGGGGCTTAAGCTGTTTATGACTGAATAAAATGATGGGTTCCTTGGGTTTCTTTCAGTAGTCACCAACATTTTAGCTCCCATATCCTGACACATTCAGCCCTCTTGCCTGTCCTGTCCAGCTGTCCCACYTGATCTCTTTTCTGGCTTCTCCCAGTGGCTTTTTCATTGACCCACTTCCCTCTCCCACCCTTGGCCGTTTGACCCTCCCTCRGTGACTGGCAACATGCCGTCTGCTGAGAAGGAAGAGAGGAACCAAAAAACAAMAAGAAAAGGGAAGTATACACAAATTTGGACATGATTCATGCATGCATTTCAGATAAGGAACTATCTTGGAGAAGCTCCCAGTATTAAGGAAATGTCTTTAACCCCTCCTGAATAACAATTTCCTTTCCTAGAAGTGACCCAGTCTCTTTGCTTTTGCCAGTGCTCCACAATTTGTCTGAATTGGCTTTTTGAGATGTTCAAAACCCCTTCCCCTTCCCCATGCCCTGTGGTAGGGAACAGTCTAAGGCCAGTACCTTGGAGACCTGATCTGTTACAAAACTGAGGCACAGAGTGCTTCAAGGGACAGAGTTCAGCACTGTAAGATGCTCCTGAACCAGGCAGGCCACGTTCTGCCTTATAAGATGCCCAACTTTGCTGTTCTTGATACATCCATCAGAGCAAAGCAGAAGGGAACCGTGGCCAGAGATAAGGATGCTGCTCTAGATAGTGCAGACTGAGTGGTCCAGCACTGAGTCAGGGAGCAAAGTGGGTGCATGGTGCTTGGGGCTACAGACACACGGGGCTCATGCATCCGTGCGCACTCAGACACAGTGCCTGCAGTGCTGATGAAATAATTCCTGAAGGGAAAACGCTTAAGTGTATTATTTTCTTCACTCTGGTTGCTAAATTATTCCGGATATGTTAAACAACATAATTAAATACACACACACACATGCTAAAAACTCTTGTTCTCTGTCAGAAGAGAGGGAACGTGTGTCAGCCCCAGCCTTCAAGCTCTGTTAGTTTTAATTTGAGTTGTGGAATTAGTAATCAGTTTTGCTGGAACACTGTTGCAGGAAATAGATCTTAGCATGCATGGGGTCTGGGCACAGTTTCAAATGAGTATTTGTTAAGAAGAAGCCATTCCCTTGTCGTGCTATGGTACATTACATAAGATTTATTTCCATTGTATTAAAAAATGCAAGCCCAAAGGGAATGCGCTCTCTTCTTGTTGGCCGAGGTGACGATTCCTGATATTTTTTGTGGGGCTTTTAATTAAAATGGTAAGACACAAAAGTCCTTCTCTTTCTAGGCTGTTGCTACAGGTCCTTAGAGGCCCATGCCAAAGGTCAAGTTACTTTAAGCACTTGGAAAGGCAATGACTCTAAGTAAAAAGGGGGGATTGCATCGCAGCGTCAGCGAGGCCAGCCTGTGTTTTTTGCATTTGTGTGAAAGGTTCACAGGGGAAATCAGACATGTAGCTCTTACCAGAATCGTCATGCCTCTTTACACAGCAACAGGAATATACCAGTTTAAGGGGAAGTTGGGAGCCAGGTGCATGCATTAGTAGGTCTGTCCAGAGGGGAGTTTTCCTGGGTGTGTGTGTACAAAATGTTCATTTTTCCTAAAGTGAGTCACCTCGTGGCTTTACACAAACAAACACATCCAGCAAAGGTGGGATATCCTCCTTCAGATACCAGACTCCCCAGCCTAGATATGAATCTACAGTTTGGGTCTGTTTAAACAATGTCCCCAGCAGGAACTACTGAGTCCGGAATTCCAGACCCTGGGCACACTCCCATCAGTGAGCAGTGTGTGCCAGAGGCAGGTCTGGTCCCGTTCTAGTACTGGAGCTCTTAGCAGGTCTGATCTGGGTCTGTGGATGATGGTAGGAGCCCATGTACATATCTGGGTGCAGGATGCTTGTACCATCCATTCCACAGCCCCTGCTCACTGGCCGCGTCCTTCAGCAGCAACACAGCCCTGCGCTAACAACTCTGTTCTCTGTCCTCAGGGAAGGCGCAAAATTGAATCTGTAGCAGTGACAGCACTGGTTTAAGATAAAACCAGCTGGGATTCGACTGCTCCATTTTCCCCAGATGTTTCCAGCTAATAAGAATTTTGCCACCGCGAGTGGCCTCTGCCTCGCACGCAGGGCTGGCCGGGGGTGTCCGCTCCCCTGGGAGCTGCTGCAGAGCTGCTGGCTAACGGCAGGCCCCATCTTCTCTCCTTCACAGGGAAGGGGCGCAATGCTCTCCCCCCGCTCTTCCAGGAGGCTGGGACAAGCCTGGGCAGCAACAGGGACAGCTGGGAACCTCCAAAACCTGAAGAAATTTAATGACCAGGACTTCAGCCGCCTGCGAGCCTCATGCTTGAGCCAAGGCCTGCTCTTCGAGGATGACACCTTCCCAGCTCATGTCAGCTCCATCGGGCCCAMCCTGCTTCCAGAGAGAAAGCAGGGACTTGTTCAGTGGAAAAGGCCAATTGTAAGTACCCGGCTGTGGTGTTTCCATGCGCTGCCTCTGAAGGGGACTGGCGGCTTCCAGARTGTAAATGCCTCGGCTCTGGGGATGGGGCCTCGGTTAAAATAGGAAAGCGGAGCTTGAGCACCATGGAGCACGATGCTGCAAGGAGGGATCCTCAGTGAGAGACATGTGCAGTGTGGAAATCCATGTGGATTCTCCTTTGCAAGTCAGTGCAGAAGGGAAGGTGGTGCTGCAAAATGCCTCCTTGGGCAGGGAGGTCTGCAAGCAGCTCATGGGAGATGGCCGATGTTCACTGCATGCTCTGATCTCTTGGGCAGGAGCTAGTCAAACTCTGGATCTTTGCAGAGCCTGTTTATTCCGAGATTTTTCTCCCCAAATCCTGGTGCTCACAAACTGCCCCTTCAAATCAACTGCCTATTTCTCTCCCATTCTGAAAATGAATTCATTTCTCCATTTAAGTTTTCCTGAAGTAAGCAGTGCCCTAAATCAAGTATCCTCAGATTTTCCTTGTATTTGGTAAACGTGCAGGTTTGAACCTTCCACTACTGCAACTCCTGTGGCTTTACTCATGGCTGCAGATCTTGTAGATGTTGCATGACATGTAGCTTCCCTTGTATCCATCCGAGTGTATCCTACAGAGGTGTGAAAGAGCCTTGGTTCCTGCAAGGTGATCTCAGATGTTCACCACCTCTGGATTTGTCCTGCAGAATAAGCGTCACTAGCAACAAATCCAGCTTGCTATGCACTCTGCTGCCGTGTTGGTTACAAGATTGTCCTAATGACCTGTTTTTGCAGGGTTTGTCTAGCAAGGCTAAAAGACATCTGTAATTTCCCTAGGGAAAACCATTTCATACCAGAACGTATCTTCCAGAAAGTAAGAGAATTTTCATCCTGCCTACAGAGTGAGACCAATTTACCCAATGTCCCTTGTTTTCTCACCCACCACCACTGGCTCCCTCTAACATTAAAAATTTGGCTGCAAATGTACCTGTGACAAAAGAAAATGGCAGCTTGATCCTGTTAATCTCAGAGACTCTACCTTCTGAATCATATAGCATCTAGTTATCAAGTGGCAGATAGCAATTGCAACTGCTGCCATTGCTCCAGATCCAATATAGCAGTTGAGCAACATGCTGCTTGTGTTTTAGTCAAGAGAATTGCCAATTATGTTCAAAGTTTGGAGCCCTCGTATGCAGTGCTAATGTATAAAGCAGAAAGAAAACAGCTTGATTTTTCAGACAGCAGTACTCAGCAGTGACAGGCAGAAACAACTTGTTTTGATTTGCAAAGTGAGCCCATCTGACATGGGAGTCCCTGAAAGGGGAAGCAGATCAGGAGCACCAATACAAGATTTTAAATGATACTCCTCTTAGCTCCTTCATATTGTGCAGTAGTTGCAATTTCTCACTAGGAGTGAACTGAGACAGTTCATGTTTTCTACCCCAGGTCCTCGTTTGGTGTCTATTGAAATGCATGTGCTGTTTGTCACTGAAATTTTGCATGCAGTACTTGAGGCACTAGAGGTAGGCCTGAAAGTACCAGATGTGGAAGGAGTTTGGCTGGGAACAACACTATGTGATCCTGCAATTAGAAATTATATTGTAAGAGCTCTGCAATTAGCTAGTCTTTTTGCTTGCCCATGATTTTGACAAATGGAAGGGAAGTATTATTTTAGGCTAAAAGGAAGTGCTTTCTATTGCCAGTATTTTAAAAGGTCAGTCAGAGGGAAATCCTACTTGAAAAGTTGAACCAGACTTTAAAAACTGAGCTATTGAAAAGAACAAGTTCCTTTCCTTGYTTGGTGCTTTCCTTCATGCAAGAAAAGGAACGGGACAGAGGAAGTCACAAAACTTCAGTGAAGTTGAACTTTTTTTTTTTAATCAATGAATGTTTTAGCTATTTCACTCTGTCCTAATCACAAAGCACAGTATCATACAGATGTAGAAAGAAACGGAATTATCACAGTTCAGATAATAACACCACCATGACTCATGTTATCTTTTAAATGTTTGGCCTTGCAGTACTAGTTATGTTTCTAGCTCCATGTTTTTGTGGAGAGAGAGGTTATCATTATGCAGCGATGCCTTGGCTTTGGGACAGAAGTGGCCCTCCCACCCCCGCTATGCTAGATCCGCTGCCCAATGCACACTTTGGTACATCAGGATAGTTCCTGGTCTGTGGAGTCTAGGGCTTAAAAGGCAAAAATGGGCAAAGGTTAAGTCGCTGATGGTGTTTCTAGGGAATATGCAGCTGTTTAGTGGAAGAGACAAGATGTGAAGTGGGGTGTGCTGTTGCTCGCATTTTTTTTCCCTCTCCTCCTCTGCCTCTTCCCCGTGCAAGTTTCTCCTTCTTTCTAGACCAATGCGTCTGGCATGGAAAAGGACGGCTTTTATTCAGGAAAAAAAGCAGGCGGTGGTTTAAACTTAATCTTAAAATTTAGCTCTAATAGTGCAGGGGAAAAATCCATGAAAAAGCAATGAGAATCGTCACATGGCCAACTTCAACCCAGCTATGGGAAATGGGCAGCGATGATGAACAGTGCTGCCCTGCCCTCCTTGCAGGGCTGTTGCTCTATAGGGCCATTTTCTGGCATGAGGCAAAGCCACTTTCCAGCTCTTAGTGGTGGTAGCTCACAGCTTTAATATTTCATAGTGACCACAAGAGTAGAGAGGCCTTTGGATTCTGCTGGCTATTTTTCCTTGGCAAAAATCAAAAGCAATTCACCTTATTGCGTGCGTGCGTGCACACAATCAGTGTAATTGAATGGAAGCGGCGTCTCCAGCGTCTATCAGAGCCGCCTTCGCCTGCTCAGCTGATTGAGTCTGACCTCGACTTCAGCATTAATATCTCTGGGCTGAGGAAGCTGCAGTGCCTCACTCTTTATTACATCTGCCTCCGTGCGTGGGCTGCAGCATTAGCACGTTTGGTCTACATGGTGTCTCCCGGCTCTGTTTTGGAAAGGGCTCCTTACGGAGGGGGACTGTGCACATCACCATTTGAGGGGGGAAGAAGCAATTGCGATCTTCTGCTGACCAGCACTTTCCCATTTCTCCAGCTGCCCAGTCAGATAGCAGGATTATAGAGCAATGCTGGGACCTGGCAAATGACTAGTAGCATTGTCCCGCTCTGGAAACTTCAACTAGAACAAAACAGTCTGACCTGAGAGCACAGGAAATTCATGCCAAGCCTTCGCCTCGGTCCCTCCAAGCAGCAAGGAGAGCAGGACTTACGTGCTAGGTAGCCTGGCTGCGGCTTGGCTGCGTAGCAGCCTTCCCTGCACCAAAGTAACCTGCCCAAGAAAATGGGGAAGAGAAAATGAAAATGGTGAAGAGTGAGAGACAAAAAAGACCACCCTGACTTGAAGCCAAGCAAAACTGAAGCAATTCTGTCAYTGACATCGTGTTGTTAGTTAAGCCTTTTATTGACTTCCCCACTTGTGATATAGGGGTATGATTTGTGAGCACAGTTCCCCTGCCAACACAAGCACAGATTGCAAGGCTTCTAAAGAAGCAGTCTCTGACAGGCTCAAGGCAAGACTGTATTTACCCTTTTTGATGCAATTTTCATTGTATTTAAGCGCTGAACCACACAAAATAAAGTGTGGATAAATCTGAGCTGGCGCTCTCTTCTGGTGTTTTGGAAAGTAGTTCCTTCTCCAGCAGAACTTTGTGACTCATGAGCATTTTTATTTTACTTTTTTTTTTTTTTTTTTTTTTTTTAAGGAATTGAGGGATTCGCCAATTTGAGAATCGGAAATTAAGAACTCAGCTAGTTATTCTGCCACAAAGCAGGAAATTGAGTCCTAGTGGTGCAAGGAAACCTCTCAAGCTCAGCCTGTTTTTCTTCCCCTCTAATGAAATGTCAAAGAAAAGCAGTATATGAGTAAAAAATAAGATGATTAGGCAGAGCCAAGGGAGAGATTCCCTCAATGTCTATTAAACACCAAAGAATATACAGAAAAAGCCTGTTAAGTCTTGTAGCATCAAGAGAGGGGAGATGGCAGGAGATGGAGGAGGAGGTGTTAGCTCCTGCTTGTCCTGGTCTTCTCCACCCTCACCACGCTGTTGGAGATGAGGAACACAAACAGCTAGATGCTGGTCTGACTCCATGTGGCTGCTTCTCTGCTCAGTGTCCTTCATCGCTCCGAGAAGCCTGTTTCTGTGTCAGTTATTCCAAGGAGGCTGGGGGATGAGTTTGGGTAGAGCAGGATACCTGCCCAGGCTGCTCTTCCCTGGCATCCGCTTGGCTGTAGGAGTGTGATCCATGCACCAGCTTGGGACAGCTGCTTTCCATCTTACCACCTGCTGCTGGAGGAGCTTCTCTAGAGGGCTTTGATCCCTGGGAAGCCATTTCAGAAAACTGACAGTGTTTGCTAATTCTGAGCTCATGCAGCCGTTGAGTCACGTTGTGTGTCGGTCTCGTTTGTGCAGCGAATCGAATCAGYCGGGGAGAAGAAATACCAGGACCTGCTTAAGGAAGAGCTGCTGTATTATTTTCTTATTCGGAGGTTTTTTCTTTTCCTTATSTTCATTTCCGTAGGTGTGCAATGGCTTTTCTACATAGGGCTGATCGCTCCTTCTAAACAGATCCTTAGCCGTGGAAAAGTGTGCCAAGAGTTACTCCTTGGGAATGTTCAGGTCCTTCCAACCTGAGCACTTGGGTATCCCAGGCCAATAGATGGTGCAGGGAGAACGGTTTGAATTTCTGTGTGCAAGGCCAGGTGATGACACTCTTCCTCCTACATTGCCCAAGCAAGTCTCTCTGAATATGGGGAAAATTCTCCCTGAATTTGAAATAAAAAGTCAGCTAGGGCTGTGGGATTTTGCAGCCAGGGATTAAGCCCTCTTTCTACAGTTTATTCGCCAAATGTGATGAAAAGCAGCCTAGGAAGATGTGTTTTATCTGTGCATGAAACACAAAAGACTCAACAAAACCTTCACAGGGTTAGTGTGAAGCAGCAGCACAACCCTGCTCCACGTTCCGTGGAAAGCTGTCCGGCTCTCTGCCCTCCTGGCCCCCAGAAACTGCATGTTTTGGCAGCCTTGCTCAGAGCCCCAGCTCAAAGATATCAGTAGCATTAGAGAAATTCAAATGAAAACCCAGTGAGGACCCAGCCACCACTTCCCATCCTCGGCAACAGCCAAATGAACTGAAGAAGTAGCCTTACTCACTCAACCCAGCTTGACTTTGTTGTTGGAGGCACTGAGGTATGCCAGCTCAAGAAAAATGGTTTTCCTCTGGGGAAATAGGGTTAAAAGGCGGAGTGATACCTCTGATAACCATAGGGTATCTTCCAGTTTCATGGCACTGTAGTAACCTTAGTAAATTCTTCTGAGATTCCTAACTGACAGTAGCTAGATGCCSTTGTGGAACTGAGTTTGTGACTTTTTGCAGCCTTTCCATGAGGATTTGCAACCTACCATGACAGGGGCTCATCTGTGTGACAAGCGATCTGCAAGGGCAGGAACATGCTGCTTGTAAGGGCTGGGCACTCATGATGCTCTTTGCATTTTTTCTTTCAGGAGCTCCAGGGAAATCCTCATTTGATCGTGGATGGAGCTAGCAGATTTGATATTATGCAAGGAAAAATAGGTATGGTCATATTAATGTTTTGGAAATCAACATAGAACAATGACCTGTGGTTGCTTTGCTGTGTCCTGAGTGGAGTGTTACAGGTAGTGGTGGCTGCAGTAAATAAGCAATGAGTGCAGGTCATTCCAGATCTAAGAAGTCCCTACAGAATTCATTGCAGATGTCTAACAAGATTCCCAAACTCAGCAGCTCTAAGCCCTGTTACATTAATTATACTACACTTTCCCTCTCTCTGTATAAAGATAAGCATAAAAATGGAGGCCCAAAGAAGACCAGGGAGTTCTGGGTTGAGCAGGCACAGATCCAAATTAATTTTGATAAAAGAAAAAAGTGAATTTTATGTTTTCATCCTATTGTCTCTATTTGRTCACTCTCCGGCTCTTCTTTCAAAACTCTTCACTTTTATGGATGTTGTTACCCATTTTCTGTGATACTTATGCCCAATGTCTGTTCCTGTACTGGTTCCCATAAGCATAGTTGTCTTTGGGAGTAGCTCTGCTCCAACAATTCACTGTCTCTGTTTCTCACCCCAATGGGAGATTTGTGAAACCTCTTTCTAGACCTGACCTTCTCAACATGACTGCATAGGTTTGGAGGAGCATGAAAGCAGAAATGGATAACTATGTGGCAACACCCATGCTAGGTGATGGCTCAGTTTTTCAGTGGGAGGGAAGGGATGATAGACAAAAGTCAGTTTCTTTTAAAAAGTTGATTCTTAGATGTTTTAGATGTTGAAACCCTGTCTCCTAAAGGATTATTTATGGACCATCACAATGGGACAGTGAATAGCTGTCTGAATGTATTTGATTCTCCTCTTCCTTGAGGTGACTGCTGGATGCTGGCTGCCCTGGGCTCCCTGACACTGCGGAAGCAATTGGACAATGTTTTACCAARGGACCAAGGATTCCAGAAGGATTATGCTGGGATTTTTCATTTCCGGGTGTGTATTCTGTGCTGTGCTGGGGCTCCTCTGGCTTGTTAGGGTGGATTATACAGAGGGTCCAAACTGCAGTCTCAGATGTCAACTGCTTTCAGTGTTCTGTTTCTTCAGTTCCCAGATCAGAATTTCGTAAACCCCAGATTTAATAATGGCCCCTGTGCTCCAGGCATAGGCAAACTTCAGGGAATTCAAAACCGTTTGCCAAAAGTTATGAGTTATGTACAGATGCCAGCTATTCAGATAGATTTGTGTCCATATGCGTTTTAGAGGGCTTTCTGGCACCTGATTTAATTTGTGCTATTTGCATCTGAATTCTTTACCTATTTGGACTCATTTTCTATTTCTCCATATGCTTCACCTTCCATTTTCAGCTGGAAGAACTTGCTTGAAAATTACAAGACCTTTGAGACAGATTGGAGGAACTGCCTTTTGACATTTTAAAAACAGATCTGATTTCCGTAGTAAATCTCACTTTCTAACAGTTCTTGAAATTCTCTGAATCACAGAGGAGGGGGCAGATGGGTGCCTGGGATACTAACTGGCAGGCCCTGCTCAATTGTATCTGAGAGAACCACATTTTATAGGGGGTTAGAGTAACATGCAGTGCCATTAAGTCCCAGAAGCTAAATTGGATGCAGAATCACTTGGCCATTCATCATCCTCTTTTTTTTTTTTTTTATTATTTTTTCCCCGTCAATCTATTTTGTTATATTATGCAGTTCAGCACTAAGCAAAGAGCTCTAGCAGTGACACTTCTTCGACCCCCTGGAGCTCTCATGCAGCAGCCCAGGAGGATTATCTCGCAGTCAGTCTAAATATTCCTGTGCTCCTTTGCTCCTTGGAATACCAGATGTTTCTGGCTTGGCACATTTCCAGCATGCAGAGGTGCATTATGTGAGATAAACCAACTGAAGGGACACACCAGTCCTGCTTAAAACACATTCAAAGAACGTAAGCTAGATTTTCTTCCATGAGAGCTCTGAAAAGGTAGGAACAATTCTTAAATCTTAAGCAGCATAAATACCTTACAGTATTTGAAAATGTTTGCCCTGTCATCTCATCTGCAAATCAATGCAACTGTTTCTAGCTTTCCTCAAGCAATAAACCCTTGAGAAAGCTACTCTGAATGGAAATGCCTTCTCGGAAATGCCTTTCAATTATTCCATCAAAGATATTTTACTGCCATCCACAGGCTAAGCTGCCAGTCCTCAGTTCAGTGAAGGATCACAAACAAGGCACATCATATGCTAATAGAAAAATTTCATCTTACAACTTTTTTCTCACCTTTTTGTATCTGAAGCACATTGCCTCTCAGCAACATGAGGAGCTGCTCTGGGCTTCCTCTGTAACCCTGACTATTCAGGTGCAAGAGTGTTAAGCACTTCAGCAGTGGTATTTAAGAYGGTGCCATTTTTGTCTGGGGAGTAACTACAATGACATTGCTTCACCAGGAATTCATTCAGTCTTGCATTTGTACAGGCATCACTTTATCTACCACAAAACCCCTGATGTCTCCAAGAAGGAAAGTGCCAGGTATTGTGACAGTGTGCAGCAGCAGCTTGACCTCAAAAGCTAACCGAAATATCCCTCGGGAATGGCAGGGAATTACAGCCCAGTGCATCTGCCACAACGGAGCTGACCTGCCTCTAGCCTAGATGCCCCAGCTCTTAGAAAGAAATGAAGGAAATCCTTAAAGCTCATAAATTGTGAAGACCTTCAGAACTCATCCAAAAGGCATCTCCCAACACCATACCACCAACTTTCCTCTGCAGAAGAGAGCCGTTGAAAGGCATGGATTTTCACCTTGCTTGCTCTTGGAACTGGATTTCTTTAAGACCTCTGTCAAGGGAAGGAGAAGGCAAAATAGCAACAAAACGTTCACCTACTATCTTGTAATCTTGCACCTCTCCATTTCTTTTTCTTCCTCTTCTAAGACCACAGAAATAAGGCACTGATTTGAAGGGCTGTATGGGTGGAGGTGAAGGCTTTCTGCAGTCTGCCYAAGTAGAGCTTCTTTGTTCAAGCTACTGTCATGTTTCTTGCTGCAGTACCTGCAGCCTTGCAGGAATCAAAGCAGAGATCTTATACGCAGGGATTTCATGAAGARCCATTTGCAGAATGACTCTTCCTCTATTACACTCTGAGACCCAGAGCCATCATAGGCTTTCCATGAGGTTCTCATTCACTTTCTGGCCTCCTCTGAYCATGCAAGTTCAGATGAGACCATGACCTGAAGGCTTGTGGCAGGTAGGGTGAAGCAATTCTGTTTATTCATCCAAAACAAATAGACAAAACAAAACAAAAWAATCCACAATGCTACCGTGAGAAGGCCTCCAAACTTGGACTCCCTGCTGAAGACTGCCAAGGAATTTGGCTTTTAGAAAAACTCCACTCAGGGGATTCAGACTGCATTAATCCCCAGAGCCAGCTCCTTATTATTCTCTGCAGGAGTTTGCCCATCATGTTTGCACTTGAAGCGTCACGTGAAGGTGTGGCTGGAGGTCACACCTTTTCTCCATACAGACCTGCAACCAGGTGTTGGCTGGTGACTGGTGACCAGGAGGTACCTCAGGTGACCAAAAAGACAGCTCCTTTTGGACCTTTTGGAAAGGTAGAAGCTCAGATCCTTCCAGACCTTGCATGTGTGTGTGGTTTGTTTGTTTGTTTGCTTTTTCTCCTGCCAATAGAGGTGACCTGGCCACAGGATTTCCCTCCAACTCCAAGTCAGGAAGAATTCAGACCCATCCTATAGCTAGGTTTGGGGCCCAGCGCTGCTGCCTCCTCTTGTCAGCAAGGCAGAAAGCAAGAGGTTAGGATGAGCCAGGATCACCAGGATAATCAAACTCGCTTTCCCTTGAGCAAGCTGGAAGCTGCTCTGCTGCTCCTAGCAGTCAGGTCTTGTGCTTTTCTAACAGAACTGCTTATTTTGGGGCTTTTCATTGACTGAAGCTATGAAATAAATTCAAGCTAGACTAAGTCTATTGCTGGTATAATTCCACTGAAGTCCTTAGCATTACTGCAAATAAAAGCGTGGCCTCTTATGATTGCAAATCATGCTAAGCTACATTAATCTGCTAATGACTCTGGAAATGGCTCTTTTAGTTCATCCCCACAGATTTCCTTTTCTGTCTTCTTCCTTAAAGGTTGCATTAGCTACATCAGCAGGAGAAACACCTGCTCTGTCCACATGCTGGAGAAACTACCTGCAAAATTATTCACTAAGGAGATAGATATCACCTCAATACACCTTTAATCACAACGCTGTCCCTATCTACTATAGTGCGTGTCAGAATCTTATCTGAAACACAGAAAAAGGAAAATCGACAGGCTGGATCATGGCATGGTCTTTCTGTCCAGAAGATGTGCTGCAGGGAAAAATCCGAGCGCTGCTGAGGAATGAGGCTTCCTAAATTGTCTGCATGATTATTTCTTATCGTCCTGGAGGCTTGCTCTTGCCCAACAACATTAGCATTAATTTCTCATGTTGTATCTTTCCTCCCGTTGATTGCAGAACTGCTTATATTTCCCAGTGTCTTTCTGTGCCACTAAAAAATCCAGCCACTTGGTAGCTTGTTTAACAAGGTAGAACATTAGGCCGAAGCAGCTCAGAAAAGAACTTGCACATATTTATGCCTTAGATTTGTTCCTAGGCTATTTCAGAATGCTGTTGCTTGACATGAATATTTGCTCTTAAACGAAGCTTGTTATTCTGTTTCTTGTCTATCTGTCTTTCTCTCTTTTGCAGTTCTGGCATTTCGGAGAGTGGGTGGATGTAGTGATAGATGACCGACTGCCTTTGATAAATGGGAACTACCTGTTTGTACATCCTCGAACATCAAATGAGTTCTGGCCATCCTTGCTGGAAAAAGCATATGCCAAGTAAAGATACGCAGCCTGTTCTCCCACCCAACACTGGTGCTTTATATTTATTTTGCTGTGTGTTTTACACAAAGTGCACAGGGAGGAGCTCAGACTCGCAGCTGCATCTCTGGTGCCGTGCTTGTACACGGGGCTTTGGCTGCAGGGCCAGCCTAAGCTGGAGATGCAGGTCTGGGACTGAAGGTCTAAATGCGGTCAGTCCAACTCTGGGCTCTTAAGGTCTGAAAATCAAAATACCTGTTAACACAGAAGGGCTGGGCCTCCCTCCCTTACCTTAAGTGAATTTCTTTAACTTTGTTTTCCTTCCCATGCTTTTTGTTTGCTTAATGCTACAGACCATGAGCGGGGATTACCTCTGTTTGCAGCCGCTAATCAGGGGCTACACAGAGACTGGGGCCAGACGTTGAAAGGGAGGATGAGTGAGGAACATGCCCAAGCACAACACTGTGAGTCTCTGATCCACCTCACTTAGCACGGACAGCTCTGACTCTTCGCTGAACACCCCAGAGCACTGCAAKGTTAATGATGATTAATAAAGAAGTGCTGGCTAATAAAAAAAATCCTTGGAGGAGTGAGTCAGAATGTGATCTGCTGGCATCCGTGGCACTATCAGCTATTAAATAAGCTGAAGTGAAATTCTGGTGCAAGGAGGAGGTACAAGGTTGCTGGACATGGAAGACTTGCACTACATCATGTGGGTATAACCCATGCCGTGCAGTAAGGAGGGGCTGGACAAAAGAGCTAGTTAAGTTGACAGATTAAGTCAGGAATAAGCAAATATTAAATCAAGGTTTGAGTGACTGGGGGATAGAAAGTGTTTTACCCTGAGATACCTCAGGAAAGTTGACTCAGGCGGTCAGTATCAATTTGCTGCCTAAGATTTTAATTATAAAGCAAAACAAGGCTCAATTAAATTGAAGTTGTAAGAAATGCTGTTTGAGATTCCCATTTGAGAAGTTTTTCCCCAGTGCCCATGACAAATCCCTCTCATCAGCATTAGACAAGGACAACCCTACAAAATACAATTAGCCACAGACTTCATTTGATTATGTTCATTAAATACACTGTGTAAGGTGGGGTTTAACAGCATGCTCTGCCTGCTCTAAGTACGACATGTTCCAGTTTATTTGCTGTCTCAATAAAAAGCACATGATAAGAACACAAGGATTGTGCTCGTAGTATTAAATTTTTGTCATGTTATTGTGCTCTAGTAGAGTAAATTGGAAGCAGAGCTGTACACTTGCTTCTTTGTTGTTTTGAGAGCATAGGTAAATACCTTTACCTCTCATTTTGTCCTGTTTCCTATTTGTAAAGGGAATACCAGCCATCTCTATAAAGAGTCATGGCAAAGTATAATATAAGAGCTAACAATTTAGCTCACCAGCCTTTCTTCTATTAGAGATTTTCACTCTTGGCTCCTTTTCTGTTCAAAAGAGAGAAACCAGATATTTCAAGGTGAGATTCAGCTCATCTCTCTGGAATGTCTGTGTAGGTATAAGAGATGCCAGATTATTTCCTGTTGTCCATAAACAACTCGAGGCAGCTGTCTCCAATTTAGATAAATACAAAGGAAAAAGTGTCGCTTTGCCTGGTTCATTCCACGGAGCACGTGTTGTGTCTGGGCATGTATTTCAGTCATGTTTCTCTGTCTTACCCTGCCTCAGTGTCTGCACCACTTTGGCTTTCCCTGTGTTCTCCACCTCGCTGTGGGTGTCTGTCAAGGACACTGTCATTTTGTGTTGATCATTAAATTGTGGCATAAGAGCTCATTAACTTCTCTTTTGTCCAGATTGCGAGGCTCCTATGAGAACTTGCATGGAGGCTACATTCCTGATGCTTTAGTAGACTTTACAGGTGGAGTCCAAGTACAGTTTTCATTAAAGGACCCACCTTCTGACCTGGAGGAGATACTGAAAGCAGCTGACAGGTCACAGTGTCTGATGGGGTGTAGCACCTCAGGACAGGTAAGTTGGAATTTTTACAATTATAGAGTATTTTTACAAAAAAGTTACTCTTTTGAGAGGAGCAGATCATGCATATTAACTCTGTATGCTAGTTGCAACTTATGGATGCCTGGAGAAATCTTAGAAATAGGAAGCAGATAAGGCTCTGCAATAAAGAACGTATAGGAGATAAGGCAGATATAGAACTAGGCAGTCAGAGAGAGTCCTGTGGATGCTCTCCTGGCTAATTCCACTGCAACACAGTGGCATTCTCTTATAATTTGGCAATGAATTTCTAGTTGAGCCAAAATGCACCTCTCTCCTGCAAGGGGATGCTATGATCATGATTTGCAGATTACGGGTCCAATGGATGTAGTGCTGGGTAGTTGCAGAAGGCTCTGTGATATTTTGTGTGTATTTTGCTAAATGCTTGCCAAGGGTTTCCACAGGATGCAAGGGAAGGTGAATACATGTGTTACATTGCTCCTGTAGACCCTGGTTCATCAGGACTCCATGTCCTGCTACTGCAAGAAAGGCAGGGACCAACCATTCAGCTCAAGTGACGCTGGGCTCAAGGCATCAGGGAAACCTCAGCAGCAATCCAGCCCAAGTCATCCTGCAATGGCCCCAGCTGTGGGCTGGTGGAGAATTTGCAAACATGCCAAGACATGTAGTTTTGTTAAATTTACTGTACTTTTTATTATAGCTGCAGCAGGAACAGCTATCGTGTCTCTCGGGAGCCAGTATGGCTGAGATGCTGATGTATAAAACCAAGTCTCTCTCTCTGCCACGTCAAATGCCAGTCCTGTGAGTTGATGTGTCAGGGAGTTAAGGTTTGTGTTTTCTCCCTTCTGCAGCTGAGGAACATAGAACTGAGAAATGGGATTGTGCAGGGTCATGCCTACACCATCACAGGAGCTAAAGAGGTAAGACTGGGGACCTGCTCCTGCCCAGCAGTCTCTTCGTGCACCACCACTGAGGTGTGGAGGGCAGTCACACTGCTGTTTCTGTAGCGTTATTTTGATTAACTTTAGACATAGGTCTAAACTCATAGATCTCTAATCTTGCTCCTGTACCCACGTGGGAAACACGAGCACATGTGGCTTTTTCCCCACAAACCACTCCTTCACCGTGCAGCCAAACACACTGACTTCTAGTTACAATTAAAGTTAAAGCAGTCCGCCACAGCGTAGAAGATGCATTTTATTGCCTCTCCCTTCACTGAATATCAGGACTGTGGGAAGCTGTAACTGTATTTTTCCTTTTGTTCTTCCCTGTTTTCAGATACTCTACAAGAACGGTTGGCAGCACATCATCAGAATCTGGAATCCTTGGGGCCGTGGGGAATGGAAGGGCCCCTGGAGTGATAAGTATGGCTTTAAAGCTTTAATCTCATAAGGAGAGTTACTCTTTTACAGGCTTGTTATAAAAAAGCTCTGCCTAGCACCCATGATAATGAAGCAGACATTTCTAAATCAATTCATTTATAGCCTTACTTCCATCGGCAAAGCCATGGCCCACAGAAATCCTGCTCAGCCCTGGGAATATTAATGCAGCATTGATTTTATGTGTGCTCCTCACTGAGCCTGGCTCAGGTGTTGCCTTTTGTCTAGGAGTACAGTTTTCACAGTGGATAATTCCAGATAAGTCATGGATGAGAGAACGGTTATCACCTGAAGTAAGTCCTGGACCTGCCCCCAGTCCTGCCTGGCTGCTACTAGTGAGCTGTCCTGCTGCAGCTGTGCATCTGCCTTCCTGCCCTCCTCCTCCTGCCAGTGTGGAAGGTGGATACTTAGCAGAGGTCCAAGAGCAGGACCACATTTTTATGTGATTTTGGACACAGAGAGATAAGGGCCCTGAGTTTTTGCAGAAACAAAGCAGTGCAGGTTGAACTGAACTACTGCCTTGGCTCCTATGTGCAGTTTGCATGGGTAAGGACTGCTTTGCTTTTGCATGGACAAGCAAATTTGTCTTCCCAGAAGAAGCTAATGATACAGAGGACAGACTGCAACAGAGGGTTTTTGTTGTTGTTGTTATTGTTTTTTGGGTTTTTTTTTTTGTTATTAAGTCAGTGCTAGTTACCCAGTGGAACTGCTTGAAGTGTTTTGCTGATTAGAAAGATGTACAGGTGCCACCCTTATGTGATTTAATAGCAAGAATCTCTCCTTTGCCTCGTAGTAGGATCATTTATAGCTCTGCTGAGAAAATAAAATCAGGCCAGCATGCAACATCTGAATGGGCCAGTGGGTGATGCGGGCTGGGATAATAGCTATCTGCTCAGGCAGTATCCTCCTGTTTTTTGGAAGGGTGCACTATAATCCTCACTGTAATTGAAATGTCAGTAGAGCGCATTCATAGGTAAACTGCATAAATCAATAAATTATTGATTCATGCTCTGTTTATTTATCTTACACTCTGCAGAAAGTACAATTATCACTTAATTACAAACCTGCTGTCTGGAAATAACACAACTCACTGGCTAATGTGCTCTCTGCACCGCGATATAATATCAGGGAGTGCAAAGTTTCTGCACCTTGCTCATCTCTTAGGTCTGGGGTGTGGGATTGGGATGCAGAGGGCAGAGGCAGGACTACCCAATTGCAGCTGGGGACCTATAACTTAAGTACAGATACAGCAAAGCACCAACATCCTCTTTTCTTGTCTTGGCTACAAAGGTAGTGAGCACAGTCCTGTCCCCAACACCGAGTTTGCCCATCCCTCCTGATCCTTTGTGAATTGCCAAGTGGGATAGATTAATGAATAGGCCAAGGTTATGGAAAATGGTGCCTATCAAAACTGAGTGTTGGTTTGTTCCTGTCTGCAGATCTCCTGAGTGGGATTATGTTGAGCCTAAGTGCAGAGAAGAACTCTACAGACAAAAAGAAGATGGCGAATTCTGGTATTTTCCTGTTAATGTTTTCATTATACTGTGGGGTCTGCTGGGCAATGAGTTTCTCTTTTCTTAGTAATACTTCTAGGATGCCTACTGGGGAGCCCAGAACTGGAGTACTGTGCGCAGTTCTGGGCTCCCCAGTATAAGAGGGACGTGGACCCTAGAGAGGGTCCAGCGGAGAGTGACCAAGATGATTAAGGGAATGGAACATCTCTCGTATGAGGAGAGGCTGAGTGAGTTGGTCCTGTTTTCTCTGGAGAAGAGACGGCTCAGAGGGGATCTGATTAATATGTATAAGTTCAGGAAGGGAGAATGCAGGGAGGAAGGGGACAAGCTGTTTTCACTGGTTGCCAGCGATAGGACGAGGGGTAATGGCCACAAGCTGGAGCACAGGAAGTTCCGTCTCCAGGTGAGGAGCAACTTCTTTACTGTTAGGGTGACAGAGCAGTGGAACAGGCTGCCCTGGGGGATTGTGGAGTCTCCTTCTCTGGAGGTCTTCAAAACCCGCCTGGATGCCGCCCTGTGCCACATGCTCTAGGTGTGCCTGCTTATCATAGAATCATAGAATCCTTAAGGTTGGAAGGGACCTCAGAGGTCATCGAGTCCAACCCCCCTGCACACGCAGGGTCACCTAGAGCATGTGGCACAGGGCTGCGTCCAAGCGGGTTTTAAAGACCTCCAAAGAAGGAGACTCCACAACMTCTCTGGGCAGCCTGTGCCACTGATCTGTCACCCTCACAGTGAAGAAGTTCCTGCTTGAGCAGGAAGGTTGGACTAGATGATCTCTAGAGGTCCCTTCCAACCTTGAATATTCTGTGATTCTGTGATTCTGTATGCCACTGTGTTAGCCCTGTGAAAACAGAAAATTGGAGGTTTTCCAGGCCCCATGGTCTCAAAGGCTGACAGAARGCAGGAAAGGAAACAGACCAAGAGAAATGGAGTTGGCTGAGCATATGGAACAGACTGGTTAAAATAATAATAATAATTTTTTTAAAAAAGTGAAAGAATTGAAAATTCAGCTCCCTGATGCCTAGTTATTATGTCATGTTGTCCTTCCCAGTAAAGGGACAAGCTTGATGAAAGATCGATTGCTCTTTGGAGGGGATAGGTGCCTGAGTTTTCACACATGACTTGTCTGAAGATGCAAGTGGCTTTTCCCAACCTCTGGTTACTCTCAGATCCAGTTCAACCATGGGGGAGTCCTCCTATTAGCTATTAGTTATACGAAAATGTACATTTGCTGAGATTGAAGTTCTGAGGACAGCAGGAGAACAGCAGGCTGGTTCAAGATCAATACTGAAAGGCTTGAACCAAGCTTGGATGTGGGGTAAGACACAGAGCCACTGAGGCAGAGGTGTGCAGGAGACAATAGGGCTCCACCAGGCACTAATGAACATGCCCAGTAACTAAACAGGGCCTTTGGGATGGCTGGAATATCCTGGAAGCTTCTGCAGGACATGAGCCAGCTCAGGTACGGCAGGTATATTCTGCGACCCCTTTGGAGATCATTGCAAGTGAATATAAATAAGTGGCTGGCATCTCAAACAGAGAGGTAAGACCTTCTTCTTTCTGGCAGGATGTCCTGTAAGGACTTCCAGCAGCAGTTTTCCTGGCTGTATATATGCAACAGCACCCCAACGTTTTTGGACTTCGGAGATCACAGCTACACCAGGTGGTCTGTGGACAAGCACATCAGCACCGGCAGGAGCAACTATTCCTCAGGTAATTAATGCCCACTGCGATCACCCTGTCCTCTCTCCTCTTTTCCTCCAGGGCTTACGCTGAAACATTCGCTTAGATTTCCGCTTTGCAGAAATATTGATTGCAAGTTATTAAAGCCTGCTCTTTCCCATTACAGCACCTATCAGCTAAAGAGGCAGAAACAAAGCAGCAGCACTCGCTGCTGAGTTAAAGCAGAAGAGCTGTGATTTAGAAACCCTAAACTCTTTAAATCAAAATGTGCTTGCCTGTCTTTTTTTGGGCAATTGCAGTAGGTGCTATTGGGGACCTCATTATAAAGCCTGATCTGGCGACATATGTGGCTGGTTTCACAGAGCAAGTAATATTTGAAATTAAATGGATATGAAATGAAAGAATTCTGCTCCAAGCTTCTGGTATGGAATGTAGAAAATCCTTTGAGCAGATAAGACTGTTGGGTTTGCTGTTTGTGCCAGGACTGCAAGCTCTGACTATCATTATTATTGCTATGATAGTTATTATTGTTATTATCTTACTTAATTTTACTTTTATTGCTGCTGCATCACTTTGGAGGCTTTGTGATTTTTAATCTAAGATGATGACATTTGGTCAATGAAGGAGCTGCTTTAATTTGCTCCATCGATCCCTGACTCAGCAGCAGACAGGTTTGTGCTTACTGGTTTCAGTCCTCATAACCCTGATCAACACCTCAGGGGAAGGTATTACAACAGTGCACTGAAGACACTGAGACCCATCAGAGCCCAGGCTGAGAGAGGAGGTGGAGGTGCTGAACAGAGAGCAACAGGAGGGAGTTGTCATCCTCGGAAATGTGTTTTGCCACTGACCCTCTTGTTGGCTCCATGTCACAAAACAGTCTTGGGTTAAAATGCAGCTTTCAAAGCCAACGATATATCTACTGACTTAAAGACCAGCCTGGTTTAAGCAGATGATGCCACCTTAATGCTTTGCCTCCAGTTTGAGCGTTTTGCTCTTGCTGATCAGTGACACTTCGTGTTCAGAAAATATTTCCTTCCAGCTCTCAATACTTTGCTTTTTCCGTGACAAAAACTAACAGAAGAAAAGGAGGGAAGCTTGGCCAGTTTTATCTTTGTCTTCTAAGTGTTGTGATTTTCAAGACTGAGTTCTTGTCTGCTCAGCCATTGAATCTGCCTGGGAATTGAAAATCATTGCTCTCCCGTCTCAAAGAAAGTGTACCATGTAGGAGAAACACATGATGCAGGGTTGGAAAATCTCCATGGCATTTATTATTTTGCCAGAGAGTTGTAGGTTGATTAATGGCCAATTAGTTCAACTCCAGATGCCTCAACTCCCTACTGATGATGTAGAGACTGCAGGGCTCTACTGTATCAGAAGCATCTTAGAAAAGGAACTGCATCTTCTTCTGGGTCTATATAAGCAAGATCCGAGACAACAGACTACTAACAGGGCATCTAAGCACTGTTAAGTGACCAATACTAATATAATAACCCTTTCTTAACAGGTGCACATTCAAGGAACCCTCAGTATTTCTTCAAAGTGACAGACTATGAACCCAAAAGCTATAATGTGGTCATTTCACTCATACAAAAATATGCTGATAATACACAGGATGCACAGAAATTGAACATAGGCTTTTTGATCTWCAAGGTAAGCAGAATCAGGCATCATGAACATTTGTTTTCTGTGTGGCTTATTTTACTGATTAATGGAAATGAAGAACTAAATTGTCTCTTGGGCTGTAAAAAAAAAAAAAAAAAAAAAAAGGCAGGCAGGCATTATTTTGAAGTAATTTCTGGTTCCTCAGAAAGATTAGTTGTCTAGCTAGGGAGGGAAAAGAAAGGACAATTCTGTGTTGTTCTTCCTTTGTATTTATTTTTCATCTTTCTTCCCCTCAAATTGATCCTCAGGTGTGTTCATTTAATTTTTCTCTTAATATGTTCCCCAGGATGGGTGAAATTCAGTGAATATGTTAGCTCTGCATGACATGGCCTCCATAGAGTGCTTAGCTCAAGCTCAAGTTAGACTTCCGATTCTTCTCAGAATTGTGACATTTCTGGATGGCAAGGCCAGAAGAAACCATTAACAAGGGCACCAGGATAAGTGTAGGGTACCTGCTTAATGAAGAAACGTAGATTATTGTGCTGCTCTAATCGTGAAAGGGAGCACATCATAGGTTTTAGTAATGTAGTGATACAGTACAGGTCCACACAGCAGGCTATACAGAAAACATTCCCACACTTACATCATGAGAATTGTCATATTGGCTCCTATTAGCTAACCCAGCACCCTGTCCCTGAGAGCAGTAAAGCCAACTCCAGGGTGCATATATGGTGGTATATTCCCTTGATTTATTTCCCAACTTCTCCAATCAGTGCTGCAGGGTAATCAGAGGTGATATCTTTGCCTAGAAGTTTACATGGGTTTTCTTTGCTGGTGCAATTGCAGAGATTCATGTGGCCTGACTCTTCCTCTCTCAACAGCTTTCAGTTGCTGTTATTCATCAGCAACATTATTTATCATTCAATACTTTCTAAGATGCATCAAATCTTTGCTGTGAAGCAAAATGGATATTATCCCTTGGCAGGATGAGAGGGGAATACAGCGCAGGCAAGGATGCAAAACTGAATGGACATATCTGATAGCTCTAGGAAGCCTTTGATTAAATATAGACATGAAACACTAATACATGGCTGTGAGGGAAGTTTAATGTTGTGTGATAGAGCTGAGCAATGTATAGGGCCTGATTCTTATCTCTCACCAGTTTTGACTTCGCTGAGATATTAATCTGCTTCTGCTTTTTACCAGAAGGAATGTGTAATGAGACCCAAAAGTATAAAAGGATTTTGTGCTGTTTATTTCTTTGCGACATCACCCATTTCTATCAGCTGAAGATCTGACCCAAAATGCTTGGCAGTCTGCACACCTCCCAAACTCTGTAACAGTAGTCATCTTTTTTTCTCCAAGAATAGCAGTTTTATGTTATTTTCTCCCAAAGGCATGGCTCATAAATAACTCTGCCACGCTGTATAACCATTCTAAATGGAATTTATACACGCTGATATATTTTGGGGAATATGTTTAGTAAGGGTTTTTTATTATGCTATCTTTACATGTCATCATGGTAATAGCTGTTACCTTGTATTTGTTTCATCTCAGCAAAAATACTGGAATAACAGACGAAAGATCAGGTTATACTGTTTTCTTGCCACACTTTCTGGAAGCTTTGGACTGAGTTTCTTGAAGCATTGTCATTTGGATGAGATGCTTTGTGAGGTCTCTGACCACTATTGGTCATGCTATGGAGAGTTCTTGTAGCTGTATTCACCCTTCATTCCTTGATGAATGAAGGAACTCCGGACTGCTGAATGTTAATTGAAGTTGACTTCAAATCTACTCATCCACATTTTACCTTCTATTTCTTTCACTTGTTTTCCACCCTTGTGCAGTTTTGATGCATCCTGGGATAGAGGCTGTATCCTAGGTGCTCTTGGCCTGTCACTGAGGAGGATAAGGCATCTTAGATGCAAGGTAGTTTCAGAGATTTGTGAGAATGCAAGACTGCTATGAACGCACTTACTGACRTAGAGGAGTAGACAGACATAAAATTTTCTACATTTTTCTTTCAGGAGAACTCCGGAGTTCTAAAACAAGACTTTTCCCTAGCCAGAGATGTAACCAACCACTTTATCCTCAGCCCAGGAACTTATGCTGTCCTTCCTGTTGCATCAGAAAACCAACCATTTGAATTTCTTCTACGAATTTTTCTGAAGAATCAAGACTACAATGAGTAAGATGATACTAAGTATTCCTCATAGGCCCCAGGCTTACAGTGTCCTGAGATTTAACAATTTAATGTCAAGATAACAAATGTGTCAATTTGCTGCTAACATTCTCTATAAGGGCATTGGGAAGAGAAAGCTGTGTTGAGGGGGGTCAGATGTATACAATTAGAAGTACAGGAATGGCCATTGCAGAACAGATAAACAGCTCATCCACACTCATCAGGGGTTTCATCTTCAATGCAAAGAGACACGGTTGCTGGGGCTCACAAGTGAGCAATAGATATAAAATATGTCCTGCCAGACTTGTGGTGAAATCGCTCTTTAATGAAAGGAGAACTGAGAGCTTGTTTGTCCTAACAGTCAGTAAATAGAGTCATAACTGCTGTGCCAGCTGAACCCCGTAAGGGTCCTCAGGTCCCCACTCTCCTCGGGGTGGTAGGGAAGCAAAGCCCAGGGAAAGGCTGTGATCCTGTGAGCCAGTCGCTGTGGGCAGTTTCATTGCACARACTGGCTGGTAGGACTCCCCAGCTATGAGAGGTAACTTAATTATTGCCAGATTTTTATGTAAACATTTGCTTGTACTTTATCTAAGGAGGAAACCACAGCATTTAGTGTTAACCAATTAGTTTGAGCATCAGTGACACAGTGGTTTTCCTTCAGTAAGTTTTATTATGGAGGTGATAAGAGAGCTTACCTCATAGACCCATATCTCCAGAATGAGATTGGTTTCTGGGCATTGGCCTCTAGTAAAAATATCCCAGAATCAACTCTGACACCTGCTTAGTTATGGAAAGCAAACATGAGAAGACTGTCCTTTGGACTAGGCTCACTTCAAAATGATGATTCATGCACCAGACAGCCCAGCCCTGGGAGGCAGCTTTTTCCAGGGCAGCCTACAACTCTTACATATGGTCATGAGCAAGCTCCAGGACAACTCTGCAGAGAATCTCAGTGGGTGCCTCGGATAGTACTGCGAGTCTGGGCCTTGCTCTTCAGGCTGCCTCAGGGCACCACAGGAATCCCCTAAGGTGCTAGGCRCAACAACTACTTGTAGTTGAGGCACCATGCCCTCTACTAAGGGGAAAGGAGGCTGAGCACTAAGTGATGAGAGGGTGCTCTGGGGGCTACCATCATGTTCACCGTCTGGTGGCTGGTGCCCCACCATGAGCTGGAGGAATTGTAGGAAAATCTGCAGGCCTCTGGCTTGCCTAAACTCTTCACTGAAAGCAAACCTCAAATGTTGAATGCTGCTCCTGAGACAGCCTCTGTAGAAGCTCTAGAAATGATTCCCCAGCTGACTATTGTGTAGGCTGCAAACATTCAAAATACCTTGCCTCTTCACAGCCTGTGTGCTCTTATTCCAGATTTCTTATTCCAGTGTTTGATTTTATTTTCATGATTGTTAAATGAGGTAAAAGGAAGACAAATGATGTGAGGTTGCATAGGGAAACTTAGGTGGGATACTGAAGGTGTGACTGAACTGCATCAGCTTGCTGGACTGCAGCCAGGAAGAGTGGTCCTGTTGGTGTCTGTCTCCTTCCACATCTGCAAATCAGGGTGCCAGAAAGGCTGTTCTCCCCAGCTGTGACTCTTGTAACTCTTTTCTAGGAAGCCAAACTACCTGCCCAGCCCAGTGTTGCCAAAGGTAAGAGGCTGTGCAAACTAATCCATATATTGGACTGGTGGTGGTGAATGATTGCCAGAGAGCTACCATGACCAGTCATTAGCCAAACTTTCTCCCCTTCCCTTCCCCGTACACCAGCAACCGCTCTACCCTGGTCTCCTTTCACCACTTGGTCTCTGTCCTGAGTTCAGCTTGGGCACCCTACCCTTACTTTGCTGTGAGAGAGAGGCCAAGAAGGGTGCTTCCTGGGGAGAAGGGGTTCAGATCAAAGTCTTCCTCTTCACACCTGCCTCTTTCATATTGTTCTTTCTTAAGGAAACACAATTTATACAGTCATTCTGTCAGTCTGTCTCTCCCACCCTGCAACCCATCAATCAACCAAACAGTGATGGGGAGAGTCTTTTCAAAGACATTAAATTCTCTCAGGATCTGTAAAGCGAGTATCCAATGAGAAGACATGGTGGGGGAGACTGAGGAAAAATCCACAGCGTGAGTTTGACTCTTCAYAGAAAGAAGGCACACCTGAGGGAAGGGGCCTACCTGTTCTCCCTGTCAATACGGCTTCATTTAGAGCTTGCACTTTATTAAGCAGAGCAGTCCATGCCCCAGAAGGATTTATTCTGATTTTCACCAGTATATCTTCACAGACCTAGAGGAAATTACACCTGAAAACTTGAGTGAGCCTAAGTCTGTTCAGCAGAGATTGAGGCTATTCAGTGCTGCTGTCCTCCTGGTGTCTGCAGCTAGATTTGCTTGCAAACCTGTGCCTCTGCGTGGACTGTTAGTTATAGTAATACAGCCTGAGTGCTGATCCTTGAAGTCAAGATCTAAAACTGCTTCAGGAGAAGGAAAAAAACGGGTCATTTTCCTTTGATTCGTTTTCCAGCCTGCAATTAAGGCCCATTAGTGAGGTAATGTAAACGGTGGCTTCTTATCCTTTCTACTAACTAGCTGTCAATCTTCTTGGCACATGTCCTTAACGAGCATTTTACCTTGGACAAGCACAGCACCTATTGCTTCTGTTCTTGCCCAAGCAAGTGGGCCTTGCTGGTGTGAATTATCTCTTAATGCACTTGCCTGAGAAAGGATTATAGGGTGAGGATCACGACATTTTACCAGCTTTTTACCATTTCCATCAGGAGGTTTYCCGCCTCTCTCGCATGTCCCAGGGTTGCTCAGGTCAAGCTTGCCTTAGAAGGGGGCCTAGAAAGGAGTAGAGATGGGAAAAGTCCACAGCTGCTCTATTTTTTTTGTTCATGTTATTATACTCTTCTAGGTGCATCTTCATGTGTCTTGAGCCGGTGGTCTCAACTGAGGACTGCCAGCAAAAATCAGACCTCATATCTCTAGTCTCACTTATTTCCTTGCTGAACTCCATTCCACCTGTTTTCTGTCATCCTCCTCAGGTCTTAAACTGCTCCCTGAACAACTCAATTATTTGTGTGGTTCCTTTTTCTTTGATCCAGGAGGAACCGAGAGTCGACCAAGACAGCTCCTACAAGACTATCTTCCTAAGATATGCTAATCAGGTACCTTATTTGCAACAGCTTGATGAAAAAAATAAAATGCAAAAAGACATGTGGATTTTTAAAAGAAAAAAAATCTCCAATATTCATACCCATCTGTTTAGATTTTTAAGGTTTTTTTTGGGGGGGGAATGCCAAAATGCCCAGAGGAAAAAAAGGAACACTGAGCTGGAATAGGTTGTCTAGACCCATATATGAGAGGAGGAGTTGAGATTTTTGGTGATGCTGGTGGTGGGATTGCATGTGTGCATTTTTTGCCTTTGGTTTATTTCTTTACCAAAAAAAAAAAAAAAAAAAAAAAGGCAATTAGAAAGTCCTGGCTACTCCCTCCTCTCCTCAGCATCATTTTCCATTTATCTTTACGGCATTTGGAAACCAGACATCAGTCAGTGTTTAAGTAATTGATTCCTGCTCTTTCTGAGCCAAACTGGTGTGTTCACAGCGATGCTTTTAATGGTTTAATAAACTGTTATAAAGGACTCCTTGACTTAGTCAAGAGRAAAAAAATCGCTGCCAAAAGTCTTTGCACAATAGACCTCTTGCAGTTAATAGTTATATCAATGCATTAAGGTGAAAATGACACCGACTGTCACACTGAATGCGCTGCAAGTGTCTGCCGGAAAAGAAGACAGTGCCCGAGTGAAGAAGTTTGAGACCAAGATGAGGCAGGAGAAAACCTTATGCTCACATTCTTCTCTTCCTGTTTTATTCTGCATTAGGACTCGGGTATTGATGCCTCACAGCTGCAACAACTCCTTAATGAAGAGGTCCTGCAAGGTAAAGCTTTTACAGCCCAGCTAATGCCTTTACACGTTTCCCTATCCTTCTTCTTGTGTAAATTAGAAGATTTAGTGGTGTCCTGATGCTCTTTAGAAAATCTTCAGCATGGCTTATTGCACTATTGCAGCCTGAAGAATGAGGAGCTCCTCCACCAGGGCTCCTTCATGCTCACAACTCTTTAGTTTTATTCAAAAAAGAGAAAAAGGAAAAAAGAAAGCATCATTCACATGAAGTGGGCGATGCAACCCAGCCTGGGTGCCAGAAGGCTCTTCAGTGCATGGCTGCCAGCAAGATCACGTACTTGTGCCTGCACAACTTGCACCTTCTCCCCACACTCTGCTCTGCACTGAGCGGAGCTTTGGAGGCTTTTTCCCCATGACATGGTGCCTGCCCTACCCCATGTTGCCCTTCTTGCTGCTGACTCTGAGCCTGAGTGAGGTCCCAGAGCTTTCCAGGGACGTGATCCTTCAGCCTGATGTGCCATTTCCCTCCAAACAGTGACCTGGAGGTAGAGCTCACCCCAAGGTGCAATGGTGCCTCCTCAACTCACCCCACTCCRCCTGTTTTTCCCGTTTTGTCAATCCTTGCAGACGAAATGGCCAGCCTGGGAGGAAGATTCAGCTTCGATTCGTGCAGAGGCATTTTAGCGCTGATGGATGTATCCTTTCAGCAGAAGCAATAAACTTCCCCAGCACTTCCCATCCTTGCCTTGAGTTATGGCTGAGCTGAGCATCCCAGCGTGAGAACCTGCAAGTAAATATTAGCCACAAGCCTCAGTAAATAACCGCCCCAGGGTCTGTGCAGGACTTGGCCACACGTGCCCTGGCTCTGAGAGAGTCTCTGCTGAAAGACTGAGGTGAACCTCCAGTCTGGAACCTACCGCTATCCCTAGGCACTGTCCTCGGATTGCCCCGCTGAGGTTGGCGAACCTTGGCCTTGGGGTCCCAGGTAGAGGCTGGAGTGAGGAGGCAGCGCAGGGCCCGCGTGCAGCTTGGCCCTCTCACCACATCTGCACCCACAGCTGCCCGGGGAAGCCGCGGCACTGCCAGCATCTCCAGGAAACAGTGAGGTCAACGGGAAGGCTCTGTCACTGCTGAATCACAGGCATGTGCCTGGCAGGCTATTTATCCTGTTGTGTGAGCTTTCCCTAGTTAGATGGATCGCGGAGGCTTTTTACTGTTAACAAGACAACATTGGAAATACATTGCTAGCTGTTGTAGAACAAGAGGGCTTCTTGATGAAAACATAAATTCTCCCTGGTGTGTTTTCTCTCGCTTGCTTGCTTGCTGTCTCTTTTCTTCTATGCCTTAGAATAACTTTGAGACATTTTCAGCCCTTTACAAACTGCCAGTGAGTGAATAAAAATGACCAGCAGTGCCTCTCTCTTACCAGCTTTCTTGGTGTTCCCAGAAAAGAAATCTTCCCCTCTTCCTGAAGCCCTTCTTGTCTAAGAGGACACTGAATGCATAGCACGTGCAAGGAGCTGGCACAGCAACTGCTCTGCTTTAATTCAAGATGGATTTTTCACTCTCTAGGCTGCTTACAACCCATATACAGCGTGACCTATCCTGGCCTGCAAAGACGGGAACAACCTTTCTCAGCCAAGTTTCATGGCAGTGACAGTGTCTGCTTGTTCTTCACTGGAGATGAGCTTGGCTTTCTGAGATCTTTTGCCACCCCAGCTGCATAGGTGAAGTGTTGCATGCCTGCCTAGGACTCTTAGCTGATGTACAGAGGTGATGATGTCCCAATATATGTCCCTCAGAGCAGCCCAGAAGGAGTCTGTTGACACTGGTCTATGGCAAGGAGCTATTTTATTGCTTATAGCTCACAGGCTGCCAGTGACTACTGAGAACAGGGGTGAATATCAGTCTCTCCATCTCACCTTCAGTGCATGCTCTGCTTGGAGGATCTAGCCAAGGTTAATCCTATGCAGCTTGGGGGATCAAGCCAAGGTTAATGCTGTGCTGCCTTATGCACAGGGACACTGCAAAGTGCTCCAGCTACATGGGCCTGGAGCACTGGGTCTCCTTCCTTCCACAGAGCTACCGGGCCTCAGTGTCTACATGTAAACCAGAGCAAGCACTGCAGGATTTGTTGTGCTTAAAGGCACCATACAAATACAAACAAATCAATATTTATGAGCACAGATGTTAGGAGCTGTACACTGTGCCAAAAAAAAAGGTGAGTTTAAATACAATCGAGAGCAGAAAAGCTCTTGGCACACACCGTGTAACAAGCAGCAGCCACTGCATCTTTTGGCTCCATTTACATGCATGAGGCTGAGTCCCAGGCAGCAGCTGGGGCAGTGCGGACAGGCAGGTGCAGCTCTCATTAGTGGCTCAATTCTTAACCAAACACACAGCTCAACTCCAACGGATGGCTCACGCTGCAGGAGTTCGGGAGCCTCTGGAGGCGCCTGGCTAAGTACACGGTATGTGAGGGCTCTGCCCACACCGAACCCCGAGCGTCTCACGAGCAGGGTGCCGGTGCTTCATGGTACCAACAGTCTGAGGGGAGACATACTACAGGGGCTGCGCAGCTCAGTGGGGCCCATTTCCAGTGTCTCTCACCACACTAACTGACCATTTTTTACCTCTGCTTTTTCCTTGCTCCTTTCTTTCTATTAGACCGGGATGTTGCCTTTACACCTGGRAAGTACTTAACATGAGAAGCTGAGGAGAGGCTCCCCAGATCCTGTGTCTAGCAGTGGGTTGGGACTGCAAGAAGTCATGGTGTAGTGCTCTTCCTCCTAGAAAAAAATGCACTTTGTGATGGTCCATTTAATCTGTTGCATTTACTTATAGCCTACTTATTAAGGGGGGGGAAATAACCTCCATAATTAGGTGCAGTAGTAAATTTGGGGAATGCTGATACAGGCTTAAAATGTGTTTTTATGCTGTTTTTCAGGATATTTTCAAAAGGGAGGACAGAAATCGTTATGGATTTCTTGATGCCTCAGAGCTGAAGAGGGCGATACGTGCAGCAGGTATGTCCAGATGTGCAACTTTTTTCCCTGTGGCGGTGTAGGAGAGGCTGAAAAGGGAAAGGAGGAAGAAGAGAGAGCTTCTTGGACTAGGTGGTCTCCAGAGGTGCCTTCTCACCTCAGCCCTTCTGTGCTTCCCTGCCAAGCAGCCAGCAAGTTCTTGAAGGAAAGCGCCAGCACGAGGCTGTTATTTAGTTTGTACTGACCTCTGTTGGCTACACTCACCAAGGCTGAAAGCGTGAGGAAAACTGAAACGTTTGGCCTGCTCTTGCCTTCTCCTGAGCCAGGCATCCGCATCTGGAGAGGCCTTTGCAGCCAGAGCCAGCAATCCAACAGATGGGGAATGCAGGGGGAATAAAGTAACGAGAAACAGCAGGTACCTGAGACATGTTTTGGCAGCTGAGAGGATTTAGACTTCACTCTTGCTAACTGAGGTTACCTAAGAAACATTGCCAGGTGAACAGATTACAGGGCAGACGTATCCTAGGCCTCACCGTGCCAAAGCATCCCTGTTTTACTAGCACAGGGTGTGATTTTAGCAACTCTGGAGAGGTGCTTCACTGAAGCCTGCTCTTCACAGAACTCAATATATGTCCATGGCCTTGAAAGAGTTAAAAAGGAATAATTGCTCACTGTTACAGGGGTCCTTGGCAGTGATTTTGCTTTGCATGTCTACTTAAAAAACTTTTAGGAAACTTAAGTGGCTTTTCTGGCCATCACTCCAGCAGCACTCCGCAGAAAATTTCTCTTGTTCAGTAAATCAGTTTTAAGCGTTGACAGTGCTGTGCTCACACTTGGAGTGAGGAGAGCAAGCGGTGGTGCCCCTGTTAGCACTGCCCTCTCCTCCACGTCCTGCGTGCAGGTCTGCCCGTCAACCAGCAGCTCCTGCGGCTGCTGGCCCTGCGCTACGGCGATGCCGCCGGCAGGATCGGGCTGTGCGACTTCATCTGCTGCCTGCTGCGCCTGGAGACCATGACCTGTGAGTCCTGCTGCCGGGGAATCTCCTCTGCTCCTTGCTCTCCTTGYTCTTTTCTCCTTTTCTCCATTTTAAGGGAATTGAGTTATGCTTTGCAAAAAACATGATTTTTACCATTATTATTACAAGCATTTTGACTGGAAATGCAGACACTTTAAGAACCCAACAGTTGCAGCCTTTGGAACGAGCTGGGCTTTAGCAGTGCGCTGAAGTGAGCACTCCGTTTTTGGCCAGTTTTTGTTCTATCACYGATATTTTATGGGCCACTAGCAGTTAGGGTGAGCAGCACTGCTCCAAAATGGCATTTTGAGGGGGTGCAGCAGAGGCAGATGAGAGTCAGTCTGTTTTCTTATTTTAATACTTTTTTTCCTTAAAAAACAGATGGCTTTTAAACACCCATGTTTCCCTTATTATGTATGTCACTTGCTGCAGACAGAAATTCTTACAGCTGAAGCAGTATTATAGCAGTATCTCTCTCTTTTTTTTTCCCATATTAAAAGAATCCTCTTGCATACTACGTGCCAGTATAAAGACAACTCCTTTAAATCCATTTGGAAAGGAATCACTGAAAGTTTCATTGCTATCTGTAATGAGTATCTGAAATTGTTCTCAAGTCTTTCAGTTATCACTTTACAGAGAGTTTAATGTGGAATACATTTTTTTTTCAAACTTTTCAAATCATTGTGAATAGGCTTTTTACAGGAGAGGATAACTGTGCCAAACGGGAATAAAAGGTAGTCCACCTTTACGATGATGTGAATGCAGCAGTAAAGATAAAATCTGTCCCATTAAATCATTGCTCATCCTTTCAAGATGGCCAGAGATGAGACCCAAGCCAAAAGCAGCAGTAGCTTCTTTGCAAAGTCTGTTTAAGTGGAGGAAAGGGACTAGTCAAGGGACAGTTACCCGTTTCAGCTCAGCTGTAGGTAGCTCCATTGGCTGTGAGCACAGGATATTTTCCTATCCTGAGAGCATAGTGGGCAGCAGGCTGTGGTGCCCTGGCCCCACGCCTTCCTGCCACCCTTGTGCTTTACCTACAGCCAAGCAGGTGCTGAAATATTCATGCTCTTACAATCATTTTCCAATCAGAGCAGGAAAGAGGATCCTGGAGAGGAGCCCGGTGAGCCTACGGAAATGCCTCCTTCTAGGATAGGCAGATTGTAATTTGGTTCTCCTTTTTATTGCTGTTCATAACAGCACATTTCCAAGTGAAAAGTAATTTCAAAATAAATAAAAAGAACTGAAAACACTGCGTTTCAACTTTATCCAAACACTTGGATTTGAATGTTTCTCCTAGACAAACTGAAATAAAAAAGTGCTCATAGAATATCAATATTTGGATGGGTTTGAGTTTTCTGGCTGCAAAGTATTCCATCAGAAAACTTTCAGCAGCGATAATTTCCAAGTCTAGATGAATAACAGCAGCATCTGCATTCATATTCCCTAGKAGAAGTTTGCAAGGCATACTAATGACTGCGAGTGCATCGCTCCATGGGGCATGCTGTGATCACTCACAGCCATGGAGGATGGAAAAGGACCAGAAGAAAGTTGTTCCATGGGAAAATGGGTTTGGTTACTCTTCCTTTCTCCTACCATTCTTCAGGCTATAGAAACAACCCATGAGAGAGAGGCAGCTGGCCACGTTGGCTGGAGCACAGAGCTGGGGTGTTGTGTGCTCAGATCCATGCCTGGGAGGCCTTGCTGCACCCCGTGTGGCTCACATCCCACTGTGATCCCAGGGGAAGGMGGAGGGGGGATAGGGCCACCCCAGCACAGGGACATGGTGAGGTTAGGCAGTGCATGAGAAAGGCCAAGTGCAGCGGGGCCTCCTGGCTCTGTGCTGCAGCTACTCCCAGCAGCTTTGTGTTCCTCCTAGACCCACGCTCTTCTCTATCCTACCTCTAGATGCATTTCAAAACCTAGCAGAGGGTGGAACTYGGCTTTCGATGACTGCAATGAAGGTAAGGATGCATCTTCCTTTGATGTCCCTTCTCCCTTGCCTGCCTCTTTTCTCTTTCCAGTTGCAAAGCAAGATGATGGAGCGGGTTGGTGGGAGAGATGCAATGCCAGTGCCAGGGATGCAGCTGGGAGAATGGCCATGGACACTGATAGGGGCCAAGTATCACCTGCCCAGAGATGCATAGTGACAGAGAGGAGATCTTTCCCCAGGAGCAACCGATCTGGTTGGGCAGCCTTGTTGGGTACATGCAAGGCAGTGTTGGACGGGGACTGGCTCCGCAGCTTAACAAGGTCTCCTCTCACCTGTGCCAGCCTCTCCTTGCTGTGATCCCAGTGACTTTGAGGGAACGACAAAACAGCTCAATGCCCTCATTTCTTCCTGCCCATCTGTTAACTTTGGATTGTGAAGCATCTTGGTTTTAAAAGAAAGAAATAGCAGACAAATGCTCACTGCTGCTGTCTGTCTTAAAAGCACAGCCTGAAGGATAGCTGGCGGAACAAGGATACATCAAGCTTTCTATCAGCTAGTCTGAACCGAGAATCCTACTGTGCACCATGTTGATATGCCCAACTGCTGCATTTTATCAGCCTAGAGACTGTTATTTGACAACACAATATTTAAAAAGAAGGGCATTTTGTTCTTTCCTAAAAAAAAAAAAAAAAAAAAAAAAAAAGCAATCTTACCAGCTGCTGTTTAAAGGATGTGTTTCGTTTCGTTCAGTAGTGTGGCTCTTAGTTCATTGCTTCTTTGCTGCACCAGGAGCCGAGTCTGTTTTCCATGCATGGAAACTAACATATGGAAAATCTTCCTGGGTCTGAACTAGTGAGAAAGCAATTTCCAAACCCCTAACCCATTTTGCACAGAACTGGAGTGCTGCAGTCACTATGGCCCATCCTTGAAAGCGCTGAGGTACGTGCCTGAAGCATCCCTGTAACATCATATGCACCTTTCCTTCTCCTTTTTGTAGTGGCTGACTCTCGTCATGTACACCTAAAAGAAAATCAAGACTCAACAGAGCTGGTAAGAAATCTCCTTATTACTATGCATGCTTAGCACAAAGGAGTTTCCTCACAGCAGCAGCCATGGATTTGGCCGGGGGGCTCTACAGAAGGCTCACCCTGGGAGGAGAGTTATTTTTAAGAGAGAGGAAGCCTTCAGCTACAGCTGGAGTAGGGCTGGCAGGAGCTGCCGAAGGGAAGTGAGGGCAGGGAAGAGAAACAGGCTGCGAGACACTTTCCATCTGGATGATAGGGGAGCCTGTAGGAATGCTAAACATGTTKCTACTGTTATTTTTAGGATTTTACATAAGAATTTGGGTTGAGAATGGAAAAAAAAAAGGTTAGAGTACTAGTTAGAGTGTGGGAGCAGAGGGGCTGCCAAAGGCAAGGAGGGATGGGACCTTCCTTGTGGCAAGGCAAAGGAGGGCTGGGATCACCAGATAACTGGTGATCACTGAGTGCCCTTGGCAAAACATCGTTTTCCTTATCAACTATGCTTGAAAAGTGAGTAAAAAACAAAATAAAAAATTCCTTATTCTGTCACTGCAACCTACAGACTGCATCCAGATGAGCTTTTCTTTAGAAGGGAATTATAATAGTAAATAATATTTTAAAAGGATCTCTGGTACCACACACCCTGTTTTTGAAGGCAGCTGAAACTGGACACTAGTTTTGTCGAGAGGTTGACAAGGAAAATACAGACTCAGGGTGTGAATTGCACTCCTGCAGGGGAAAGCACGATGGATTCAGACCTAAGGCATGGAGGGCTCTTTGCCTCTGCCCCGTGGTTCAGTTCTTGTTCGGATGTGAGGCTGTGGCACCTCCATCTGCTCACTGCTGAGCACACTTCTGCTGAGCTCCATGGCACCGAGTGAGAATTCACCCTTTGTATTCCCAGGACGTGAGCCTAGGATCATGGACCTTCCCTTTGTCTGGAAATCTGTGATTTCCAGAGGTTCCTGGAACAAGTTATTCACTACACAGGACCAGGCCATTGCACCATGGCTTATCATTAGGTTAAATATAAGACTAGAAGGACCTTGTCTTGGGGGATGAAGTTGCTTTAAATTATTGCTTGCAAATGATATTCATAGTCTATTTGCTCTCCTTATTTCCTTTCATGAATCATTCATAAACTGATCATAACTTTGGCAAATATAACATTAATCATAATTTTCACTTAACAGTTTTGAATGAAATTCTGCCTGCAGGGTGTTCAGAAGCAGTCCACTTGAGCAATTCACCAGTTGCTCGCAGCCAGTGACTGGGCAGCTACGGCACATGCCCCTCAGAGGACTGAAACTCTTTAAATTAGAGCCTAACAAATCATCAGTGATGTGGGAAAGCACACCAGGAGTTAACACTCATCAAATGTTTGGAGATTTGAGATATTTTACCGGCTTCCCAGCTTCTTGACATGCCTGGGACAACATGAAGTCAGATAGTCTGATTCCTTGGGAAAGGCTGGTGGTATCTCAACTGCCTTGAGCTGCTCTTAGGTACCAGGAGCGTGTAACATCTACCCTGCTGGCCAGCAGTGATGGGCAACTTCACTGTCAGCTGGTTTGACCCAGTGTGGTGTGGGAAGACCTTGCCACAGTGCCAGCACAGAGTAAAAGTCCTCAGGTTGGCATAGGTTTGCTTTCCTAGCACGTAACACTGCAAAAAGAGGGGGAACATCTGTGTTCGTTTTAACTTCTATTAGGAAAAAAATTCACAGATTCACACAGATTCACAGAATATTTAAGGTTGGAAGGGACCTCTACAGATCATCTAGTCCAACCTTCCTGCTCAAGCAGGCACACCTASAGCATGTGGCACAGGGTGGCATCCAGGCGGGTTTTGAAGACCTCCAGAGAAGGAGACTCCACAACCTCCCTGGGCAGCCTGTTCCACTGCTCTGTCACCCTMACAGTAAAGAAGTTGCTCCTCACCTGGAGACGGAACTTCTTGTGTTTCAGCTTGTGGCCATTACCCCTCGTCCTATCGCTGGCAACCAGTGAAAACAGCTTGTCCCCTTCCTCCCTGCATTCTCCCTTCCTGAACTTATACATATTAATCATATCCCCTCTGAGCCGTGTCTTCTCCAGAGAAAACAGGYCCAGCTCACTCAGCCTCTCTTCGTACAAGAGACGTTCCATTCCCTTAATCATCCTGGTTGCCCTTCTCTGGACCCTCTCTAGGAGCTCCACATCCCTCTTATACTGGGGTGCCCAGAACTGCACACAGTACTCCAGGTGCAGCCTCACCAGAGCTGAGTAGAGGGGCAGAATCACCTCCCTTGACCTGCTGGCAACACTCCTCCTGATGCAGGCCAGGATCCCATTGGCCTTCTTGGCCACGAGGGCACACTGCTCACTCATGGTTAACTTAGTGTCAACCAGGACTCCCAGGTCCCTCTCCGTGGAGCTGCTCTCCAGCAGGTCGACCCCTAATCTGTACTGATGCCTGGGGTTATTCCTCCCCAGGTGCAGGACCCTGCACTTGTCCTTATTGAACCTCATGAGGTTCCTCTCTGCCCAACTCTCCAGCCTGTCCAGGTCCCTCTGGATGGCAGCACAGCCCTCCGGAGTGTCGGCYACTCCACCCAGCTTGGTGTCATCYGCAAACTTGCTCAGGGTGCATTCCGTGCCCTCGTCCAGGTCATTGATAAACAAGTTGAACAGCACTGGACCTAGCACTGACCCCTGGGGGACCCCACTGGCCACAGGCCTCCAACTGGACTCGGCCCCATTTATCACCACCCTCTGAGCTCTGCCATCCAGCCAGCCCTCGATCCACCGCACCGTGCACTCGTCTAGTCCACTGTCCCGGAGCTTCCGTATGAGGATAATTCGTTTTTTAGAAAAAAATATCTTTATCATTAGTGGTTTCTGCTGGCTGACCTCCAGTCATCTGTGTTCTGAACCACTCTCCCTACATCTGTTTTAGGTGCCCATGTTCTTCTCAGCAGGACACAGCCCAAAGCTGCTCCATGCAAGAACTATCAGTGGGGATCTCAGAAAAATCAAACACGGTGAAAGAGTGAGCTGGCATTTTATGTGAACATTTGCTTATATTTGATGGTATTCAGATGTCTGGATAGAAAGTCCTTCTCTGGCACACTGGAATTGCTCTGGAGAGAGAGGATGGAGATAAAGAAACAGGTCCCCAGGAGAACTGGTACTGCATAACTTGCTTAATGGGTTCATACTGCTTGGAAGTGCTGATCATGAGCTCCTTCCCTCATCTTCAGGCAATAAATRTGGCTGATTCTGCTGGATATTGCATGGAAGCCAGGAAGCCATGGAAGCCACTAGCTCCATTCCAGATGAGAGCAGAATATAGCCTTTTATTTGTGAAGTGTGTCTGCTTCTCAGATAACAAAAACAAGTAGGATATAGTTTGATTTGAGTTCTCTCTTAGTTTGTCTCATTTTTAAATGATAGAAGAAAAGGGTGAAGAAAAGGTTCTTATGTTACAAGAGGCTGTGCAATATTTTTGGTTACTTTTTATTAAAAAAAAAAAATCTTGTCCATACTGAAAAGTGTGTTGGCTGCAGGGGGTACATTTTATCTGCTGTGGGAGGAATGAGAAGTATTTGATACGCAGAGCAGATTGATCAGTGTGTTTTCATGATTGCCACCTAAATCAGGACTGACTGGGAAAAGACAAGTTTATCAGAATTGCATCTCTTTCTTTGTCCTGATATCTTCCAAACTTCAGGGCTTCTTCCTATACAATGCGTGCTCAAAAGTTTAACTTAAATCTGCTTAATAACTCTATCTTTTCCGTAGCCTATACACCAACTCAGCTTTCACACTTCTAGCACTATGATAAAAACAAATCTAATAAAGTCCATCCCACTTGACTACTAAGAAAAAAAGTCCCTGAAAACTCTGTGAAAATGTCAAAGAGAAATATGCAAATGTTGGTGGATGAAACCGGTCAAGGTTGTCATGGCAATATCATTTCACTCCACAACTTGCAGCGCAAGTTTCCATCACGCCTTCCACATGCAAACAACAAATTTGCTCATTTGGCTGTGAGACGTTACACGCTAGAGCAACAGCTCTGTTAGAAGATGAAGAAGGGCCTCACATTTATGTTATATTATAGTCAGATGCATTGTCCACATGCTGCAGTGTGGAGAACATTAGTCACTTCAGAACATCAGCATTGCATAAACTATAATTTCAAACTTTATCAGGAAATGTGGGGAAAAGGAAAATTATTAAAAAATAGACAAGTTTTCAGTCATTTCTGAAATCCAAAATGTCTCTGAAAATAAAAGATAGAGCTGATAAAGAAAAAAAAGACCATTAGAACAAGCAGATATGGAAAAATACGCTTTGCTAAAAAGGCGGATTTGTTTCAGAGAAGTGTACTTGTTCAATTTAGCCTACGATTTCAAAAAGTGTATGCAGAAATGTGGAACTACTTTTGTGTGATGTACTGCCATGCAGCACAGGGACACTCGAGCTGGCTTAAAACTGCTGGGAACAAGMTATTTGTAGCTACATAGATTTCACCATGGGCTATTACCCTGCCAGGTAAATTGCCTAATTCAATCCAAGACAAAAAGCCTACACACATTTTTGTTGCTTGAAAGCCTCATCTATAAAAACAGTAAGCTGTTGAATGTTAAGATCAGTGCATTAAGATTGGTCTTAAAGATCTTAATTTGCACACAACATATTACTTTTCCTTTTGTTATCATGCATAACTACATTTCTATGGAAGGTAATTTTGCCTGTCATGAGACAAAGATCCTTGTCTCTAATAACTTGGTCTTGTCACTGAGTGACATAGTTTTGCTTTGTTAAAAAGTCATCAACAGAGAGCACACACCTCATGTGAGAATCGCCACTCAAGGTAATGTGTAAGGTTGACATTATCAAATCAACCTGCACTTATTCAGAAAAAAACCACTTCCATGAACCTGTCCCACAGATTTTCAAAGATATTTAAATAAATAACTATGAAGACAAGTACTTAGTTACTTAACTGTGTGATTTTAAAATATTGCTGCTGTGCAGATTGCCGGCCAGGGTCCACCTCCAGGCTGCATCATGTTGACTTGATCTTCACACCCTTGCTCCAGCATCAACATTAGGCTGGTTCTCAGAAGCACCATTTCGGTTTGTGTTTAGGTCTGTGTAACGAGGGCTCTTCTTCCCAAGAAACCTGTAGCCCTTTCGGGTTTGGGGGKTTGGAGCCTGCATGCTGATCTCACACTCTGGCGGAAAGCAATAACTCATTGTTGTCGAGCCGAGCATGGCTGCTTGTCTGAAGCCTTAGAAGAATTGGTATTCCACTTGATTTATACTTCTAACCAAGCTAATTAAGCAACAATTCAGGAGGAATCCATCATTGTGACAGACTGGTTGATTAACCATCCCACAAGCAAAGTCAAGTGTGCTTAGTAGCCTGAAAAAAACAGGTCAACAGGGAGAAAAACAATGATTTGGCCATAATAAAACAACAATTGTTACTTCCAAAAGCAACAAGAAGTTTAATACAGTTCACAAACACAGCAACCAATATTAAAAACAGGCAACTTAAATCAGCTGTGCGGTGCATAAAGAGGGAACACTTCCACATCTCAGGTAAAGTTATGTGATTAAGCAGTGAAGCCCAACCTTACAGGCACTCTAGTAAAATCTCTCTGCACCTTCATATGTGTTTGCCAGCTCTGAAATTTTAGTGCAGCCTGTTAGGTTTCAGACATTTTTGAAAACTAGCTCTAAGATTCAGGCAATCTGGTAATATCTGTTTTTGTTTGTTTATTTATGGAAAACATCTTGTCCTCAGGGACACAAGTTTGGGAAGGCCTAAAGATGCCCACTACTGGAAATCAAAGAAAGGGACTTCAAACAAACCATTTATTTTTAAATCTTCATGAGGTTAAGATCCTTAAGGGAGTAGGATTATGCTGACATGGATAAGATTAGTGGAGCTGAACTCCGTAGAGTTGGAGATAGGATAAAGAGCTGATGAAATTAGGTGGGATCCAAGGAAACCATTAGTGTCAAACGGGCTTTGGTGTGTAAGTACTGACAACTGAGCCTACGAGCAAGCACCTCTGAATGCAGATTCTGCCATCCCAGTGTTCACAGCCTGCAGGCCTTGCCTCAGCCATCGCAGAGTGGTCGGAGGAGGAGCCTCTCCTCATGCCTTGCCTCAGGGCCTGGCCCTGCGTGTGTTGTCGGAGCAGGAGGCCTGTGTGGAGGCTGTCCCAGAAGGCCCCAGAGGGAGCAGTGCTGGTGCCCATGTCACCATGCTGTATGGGTGTGGGAGACCAGGAAGGTCCACAGCTCACCTGGGAGGGTTTGAGCACAGCATCACCACCTTTGGGTGACCTACAGAGCACTCAGAAGAGCAGCACTCTATATGTCTCACAATGAAACTACTACAGTTCATGCAGGTTTACTACAAAAAAAGAAAGCATGTTATTCCGTAACTTTGTGCTGGAGGGCAGAGGGAGGGCCTCGCTGGCTGTGAACCAGGGAGTGCTGCCCGCAGACCCTTTCCTGCCTCGGGCCCTCCCCAGGACCTGCTTTATGACAGACAGCTTTACCTAGATCACTTCTGTCAGACAAATTCTGGCTAGCAAGAAAGCGCCAGCTAGATCCCATGGGATTCTCCAAGCATATCCAAGATGATGAGTGGATCTTAATGCTAATGCTTTTTAAAACAAACAAGCAAAAAAACCACCTCAGCAATCTTGAAATACTTCATGACAGGCACTAATATTATTTTTCAATGTAAGGCAGTTCTTGAACATGGGCTATTTGGTCATGGGTATCTCTTGGGCAAGAGAGCAAGTTTTGGACTGACAGATGTGTGTGTGTATACACACGGCCAGAGGGATGCATGTGAGACCAGTAACATCTCAGCTCCTGCTGTTTGCAGCAGTGACCTTTTTTGCTCTCCTCTCATTACCCCAGACTCAGGAAGATGGGTATGAAGCTAGTCATGACGGACCCTCCATCCATAGGTACCTAGGCCATGCTGAGCACAAGCCCAAGGCAAATGGAGGTTTTTTTCTAGCATTTAGGGTGCCAGCTGTATTTCAAATGATCTCTACCTGGCCTTACCAGGTAGACCTGGCCTTACTGCTCTACAGGATCTTGTTGCTGCTGTGCAGGAACTGAAACACATCACTGCTACACAGAAAATCCATATTTTATGCAGCAATCCCAATCTTCCTTCTCATGCCAGTCCAACAATCCCATATGGCAAGAGCTGCTCTTCTTCAGGCCTAGAGAGACAGGGGGAGCACCAAACTCTTCAGAGCATTTGCCATCACCCACCAGTGGCCCTTCCCTGCTCTCAGTGCTTGCTGCCAGCTGTGCCACCAGCCTGGCTCTGGTTTCTGCTGCCTGGCAGTGACATCTAGAGGCTCTCGAGGCCACGTCCKGCCTCACTTGCTCAGCTCACATCCCGCTGGCAGACAGAGACCAGCCCCTCTGCAAAGCCCTGGGTCTGCAAATGCACAAGCTGCAGGGCACTTCTGCAGCACCATAGCCTGGCTGTGATGCTTGCTCGGGGCCTAAGGCAGAATTATTCTGAGATACAAATTAGAGCTCATTTCCTTGCTTTCCTTCCCATTACCACCTTGTCGTAGCACTTTGAGGAAGTTACATTGACTCTGGGAGCCCATGATCTCATGGAGTCAACCCATGAGCCTTGCCCAAGGGACAAACATCCTCGCAAGCTGGTACTAATAAAACACATACAGCTTTTACCTCGAGGAAATATCTTTCTTTTGCTTTCTAAACCATATGTTAGACTCACTGCCATCCAGCATCAAACCTACTGCTGCCACCAAAACAGCTCTGGCTGGAGGTGTGTAGTGCAAGATGAAAAATTGTTGTACAGCCAGTAGTCTTAAGTTTTAAAAATCATGCTTTCAAGACAGACAGTAAATTCATCAGCCCAATGACCTGAATAGCTCAGCCATTTGATACACGCA